GCTTGCCTGCCAGAGTAGAGTCCTATTTTGGAAGATGTAGGCTAAGGAAAAGTTACTTCTGCAAAAATCAACAAATGGTTTCAGCTCTCAGATCCAGTCCTATCTCATGGGCAACTTCCTGCCAAACACTGATATCATCTTGGATTAAAAAAATAAATAGGACCAATTTTGTTCCAGTCAGCAAGCCTTTGGATGGAGTCAGAAATGCTGTCAGCTGAGAGTCAACCTCCCTCTCACAGAAACCAGTCGATACAAAAAGTTGAAAGGAATGCAAAGAATAAACCTTATTATTTCTAATGATAAACCAAATCCAGTTTTACCAGACAGCACTACTTGAACAGCAAGCTAAGGTACTTGGAGACTGCTACATTAATTCTTCCTATTCTTGTATATCACAATGGAACTACGAGCAAAATGCACATGAGATACTCCAAGATAAGTTTTGCTTTAGGAGCTGCTAAGCAGGAAAATGAGCTGACTCAACTGCATTTTACTTTCCATGTAGAAAGAACGGTGCAAAAGCAGAAGTTTCCACTCAGGAAGCAAACGAAACAACATAACCTTACATAACACCCATTCTAAAAAAAGTTTGATCCCATCCCATGTTGGCAGTGAAAAGCTGATCCTCACTAAGGACCACAGTGGTGTTATGACTAGTCAGCCCTTTTAGAAATTCTCCAAACACAGCTACACAGCCCCGTATAACCAATTTAAAGCTGCTGAAGGCCAAGGACCTGTTGTGTCTAAAGCTGCTTAAGGCCAATCTGTGCTTTCACAGGTTGAAAACATCACTCAGAATAACTGAAAGGATCATCTGAGAGAAAGATCCCTGGTTCACTTCTCCTAACGGGTAGCAAAGTTTGCTGAAGGTATCAGTTATGCTAGGTAGTCAAAACAAAGATCAGAAAAACTCTTGTGCCAACAGCCACCCCAACAAAGAATAAAAAAAACTCTGATGGATTATCAATACATATGCAGAGCACCTTTATCCTACTTCTCATGCAACTGTTGGTCACAGGACACGGGCTGGAAGTCCCTGCTGCCTGAATCAGTACAATGTTGATTACAGCACGACCAAAGTCTTGAGGAGAAAAGTCAAAGGCCCATTTCCCAACCTCCAAGCAATCTCCAAGGATGGAGCCTTGCAGGCATGTTCTGCATGACACAGAACAGAAGGGAACCTGCAAAGTACCACACAAAGTGTCTCGTGCACAATGGCAAAGTAACTACAACTCATTACTGACTTACTTCTATAATATCAACTCTGAGGAGAAGTAAAACAAATATTCTACAATAAAACAGCATTTCCATCTCTCCCTCCTACTTTATTTTTTTCCTTTTGGAAAGAATTCCCATTGGTCTGAAGTGTTGTAGTTTAATCCTGGTTAAACTACTAAAGAACAGAAGTGGGACATTATAAGGAAGTTATCTAGTACTACGATGTTGACCCTTCCATCTATTTCTGGATGTAGAATCCAGGAAAAAAGTTGAAACTGTGAAAAATTTAACCCCATATAGTTAAAAAACCCTCTAAATGACTCACCTCACTCAAAACCAGCATGTAAGTACATAAGATTAAACTTTGATAAAATTTGATGTCAACACATCTCAATCACACACCTTCTCAGACTTCTGCAGTTAAACTAAGCCTGATCTTGTCAACAGAGAGACCAGAGGAGAACTAAGGGACACAATATCACACATACTAATTAAAATCATTGTTAATTGAACACACATCATAAGCACCACCATACTGCAGAACCCACTTCATGGAGAACACACAAACAAAGCAGCCTGGCAGCTCACAGTCCAGGAAAACTCAGTGTACTCAGTGAGGAATACTGGTCTGGCAGGGCAGCCTGTTTGGGGCCAGCATTGCACCCCTCCACACCATGACAGCTTCGCTCTATCAGCCAAGGGAAAAACCAGAATTGTTGAAAATGGCATCCCCTCAGCTCATCAGAGGGACCAGTTACGACTGTAAGACCGAGCAGTGCTGAGAAACCTCCATGCACTCACCGAAAGCTAAAGGGACTGTGAGCACATCTTCAAGAGCAAACAGGTTAGATCCACATGACTGACCCAAAAGCAATATATGCAACACATGAGGAAGGCTGAAAAAACCCCAAGTATTTTTATTCCAGCTACGTCAGCACTTCATGAACAGTTTCACTATTTCCTGCATTGTCGACTCCCCTCTTTGGAGGCCCTTTGCTGCAAAATGAAAAGGGACTGGAGGAAACCAAGGACAAGAAGGAAAACGGACCTGTGAAATCACAAGTACTGCCTATGGAATTAGAAGTTTGCCTCAGCTCTCAGTAAGTTTCTTCCAGCTGATTCGTTTTGAAAATAAGGCCCTTGTGAAAGCAAACAAAAAGGAAATGAGAGCAAATCCTATATTTACTGAAAAAGGTAAGAAAAAACAGCATCATGTTCACAATCCTCAAGACTTCAAAGTGAATCAGTGAGACAAAAAAATATCAAGGTGATCTCGAACAGCAGTTCAAGAAACATCAAGAAAATCGTTGGAAGACAGGCACACCCATTCATGTGAGCTCTCTCTTTAGAAGTATAAAGAGATATTTTCTATTAAGCACAGTACCAACGTAGGCTTTTTTTAGATGATACAGCATTTATAAATATTTATTAAGCCTTTTATTCTACAACAGGTAGAGCAAAATACCTGTTAAGGTAAAATGTTACTCAGGCCTTAATTAGCTGGTGTTACTGATACAGCATTTTGAAAACGGTTGCAAAGAGAAAAGAAATATGCCAGAAAAATGCAGAAAAACTGTTCTTAAAGCATTAGAAATGCCAGCCACACCTCATTTAGTCAATCACATTGGCCTAAATAAAAATTATCTCTTCCTTGTGCACCAAGTTCAGCACAATAAAATGTCTGAAGAGGACAGGGCGTTGGGGTAACATAAAACAAGTCACATGCTATTCCACTTCATCTTTAAATCCACTTCCTTTCAATAAAAACTCTACTCATTCTCTCAGTGTTATTTTTCAAAGCCAGCAATAGTTTTGCCCTCCTAAACATGAGCAACCTCCACCGTAGTTCACCCCTTCATCCCAAAACCAGTAGACTTCACTTGAAAAGTGAGCTCAGCTACAAGTAACTACCCATAAATCTCAAGTCTTGCCAGACCAAGATTTCAATTCATCTCGGTGAAGACCTTGAAAATTTTGCTTATGTTTATTTCCGCAGAATAGTATTTTAAAACTGACAGAGATACAAGTCACAACAGTCTGCTTTGATATGCCACATCTCGTTTTCATTAAAAAAGGTTAGTGAAGCTTCGGAAACGCCTTTTCACAACCAAATTTACCCAACAAAACCCAACTTTTGTGGAGGAGGTTGATCCAGCTAGTTACTAAGGAGCTTCTAAGTTAAGTCGACTCAGGAGCTCGAAAGGAACTCCTCCAAATCTCACAGGCGTGACCTCCGTGTCCAGGAGCGCACACACAGACACACAGACACAGACACGCAGACACAGACACACACACACACAGACACAGACACACAGACACACACACACAGACACACACACACAGACACACACACACAGACACACACACACAGACACACACACACAGACACACACACAGACACACACACAGACACACACAGACACACACAGACACACACAGACACACACACACACACACACGACACACAGACACACAGACACACACACACACACACAGACACACACAGACACACACAGACACACAGACACACACACACAGACACACACACACAGACACACAGCCACACACACAGCCCCACACACCCAGACACACAACACCACACCACAGACACAACACACACACACCACACACACAGACACACACACAGACACACACACAGACACACAGACACACACAGACACACAGACACACACACACAGACACAGACACACACACACAGACACACACACACACACAGACACAGACACACACAGACACAGACACACACACACAGACACACAGACACAAACACACACACACACACAGACACACACAGACACACACAGACACACAGACACACACAGACACACACACACACAGACACACACACACAACACACACACAGACACACACACACACACAGACACACACACACACAGACACACACAGACACACACACAGACACACACAGACACACACACAGACACACACAGACACAACACACAGACACAGACACAGACACACACACAGAAACAGACACACACAGACACACACACCACCACACACACACAGACACACACAGACACACACAGACACACACACACACACACACAGACACACAGACACACACACACACACACACACAGACACACACACACAGACACAGACACACAGACACAGACACACAGACACAGACACACACACACAGACACACACACACACGCATTTGGAGGAGCTGGGGGAGAAGGGCAGTCAAACTCCCAGCCCAGGGCGGGTCGGGCGCTGTCACTGCGCAGCACAGCCCGCAGCGAGCCCGAGCCGCCCCAGCGCTCCCACTTTCGGAAGGTTTGCACCCAAATACGAGCCGCCCGATAAGCAGAGGGCACGAAACCCTGCCCTCCGTGAGCCCCGGGCAGCGCTCGCACGGCGGGCCCCGCTCGCACGGCGGGCCCGGGCCCGAACAACTGTTGCTGCCGCGGGGGGAGCGGCCCCACCGGCCGGGCCGCGGCCCCCGGACAAACCCCCGAGTGCGGTCGGGCCGCGGCCCCGGGACAAACCCCCCGGGTCTGGCTGGGCCGCGGCCCCGGGACAGGGACAAAACCCCGAGTGCGGCCGGGCCGGGCCGGGCCGGGCCCCCGCTCCCCCTCAGCGCGGGGCCCTCACGGCCGCGGGGCTCCCGCCCGCGGAGCGGCCCCAGCGCGGCCGCGGCGACACGGGCGGTGCCCCCCGCCCTTCCCTCTCCCTCCCCGCTCGGCCCCGGGCACGACCCTTCTGTCCCCGCGGGGATGGCGGCGGCCCCTCACCGATGGTGGAGATGAAGGTGGTGTTGAAGGCGTCCTCGCTGAAGCGGAACAGGAGGCAGGTCTTGCCCACGCCCGAGTCGCCGATCAGCAGCAGCTTGAACAGATAGTCGTAGGTCTTCGCCATCTTCGCCCGGGGCTCGCTCGCCGCCGCTGCAGGAGGGGGCGAACGCGGGAGGAGGGAAGGAAGGAGGGACTCCGGGGCGGAGGGAGGAGGAAGGAGCGAGGGAGGCACCGCCCGCGCACGGGAAGCGGCAGCGCCGCGTCAGCGAGCGCCGGAACCGCCGGGCCCGCCGGGGGATGTGGTTCTGGGCCCGCCGGGGGACGTGGTTCTGGGCCCGCCGGGGGACGTGGTTCTGGGTCCGGCGGGGGATGTGCTTCTGGGCCCGCCGGGGGATGTGCTTCTGGGCCCGCCGGGGGACGTGGTTCTGGGCCCGGCGGGGGACGTGGTTCTGGGCCCGCGCAGCCGGGGGCCGCTCACCGGCCGCATTCCTTTGGGGACCAGCGAGAGTCAGGGAGTTCCGTGTCCAAGCGGCACGTTAAATAGCGGCACCACACTGTGGGTCACAGCGAGCACAGCAGAAACGCGACTCCAGTGTGTGACCTCACGTGCTCACGCCTTGCCTCGGGCACGGCAAGTCAGAGAGAAACTGCTGTGCACACCACAGAACAACTGTGCTCACACCACAGAACAACTGTGCTCACACCACAGAACAACTGTGCTCACACCACAGAACAACTGCGCTCACGAGTGCTGTAGAACAGCGTGTCTGATCTAGAGCAGCACCGACAGTGGGTGTTGTAGAACAAGGCAGCTATCAGTAGGACAAGAGGGCTCGGTCTTAAGCTCTGCCAGGGGAGGTTTAGGTCGAATATTATGAAAAAATTTTTTACAGAGAGAGTGCTCAGCCATTGGAATGGGCTGCCCAGGGAAGTGGTGGATTCTCCATCCCTGGAGGTGTTTAAGGTGAGACTGGATGTGGCATCAGTGCCATGGGCTGGGAACCACAGCGGGGTTGGATCAAGGGTTGGACTGGATGATCTCGGAGGCCTTTCCCAACCCGGTCGATTCTGTGATTCTGTGATTCTAAGGTGTCTGCTCAAGAGCAGCACCGACAATGTGGGTGTTGTAGAACAAGGAGCTCTAGAGCAGCACTGACACCGTGGGTGTTCTAGAACAAGGTGTCTAGAATGGTTCAATAAACACTTTCCCCCATCTTGGTTTCCCCCCCACACTAATAATTATCCCGTGGTGTGGGGCAGCCTCGCTACACATTCATTATGCCTGTGTTCCCCATGGGATGTCACGAGGTGCTATAAAAATAAATAGTGCTACTGAAGCAGTTCAAAATGACAACAAAGAGCTACTACTTTAATTTAATTTAAATATTGTAGCCTTTAGAGAAGCTATAAACAGAACTCTCTAACGCTATAAATAACCACGACAGTTCTCAGTTCCCTCTTAGGAAAACAAAGGAAAAAGAGATGTTTTCCCCAAATCATTCATTAAAGGATTGTCATCCTGCAACGTTCCCTTTCCAGCTCCCCCCAGGTTTGCCCTGAGCTCCCTGCAGGAATGGCCCTGTGGCACCACCTGCCCAGGCACCCTCCTGCAAGTCCCTGGGGTGAAATAGGGCTAAACTGGTCCAATGCCTGGCTACTGTTGTATTTGTGCAAAGGATTCTGAGGAATCACTCTGGAAAAATACCTTCAGCTATTATAAACCTTGAATAAGCAGAAGCTGTTGTGCTTCTAATTATTCCAAATCTTCCCTGGTAAGGGTCTCATTTTGGTGGTATTCCTGGCCAGTATATGTTTGTGGTAGCAAATCATCAAAAATCCAATGGCAGATGTGATGTAAAACTCTGTACAAGATGAATTCAGTAGGAGCTATGAATGCTAATCTATATTCCAATTAATTGGTGCAAAATCTAATTTTATATTTATACATTTACATTCTGTGTTCTAATAGAGGATAATCAAGGCTGCAAAACAAGGATGGGGGGGAATTGCCAGTTCCTTTTTCTTCTTTCTTTTTTTTTTAACACACTTGAGGATCTCTGCCCAGACCAGGACAGAATTTGGAAACCTGGCTGCTTGGTCCATATTTGGACTGTATAATTAGCAGTCAGGCTGTTTAGGTGTTGAGTTGTTACAGTACTTATTACAAGATTTGAGTTTATAAATGATAATGGCAACTTGGCACTGAAGCAGTCAAAGCAAATTGGTTAATTATATCAGTCTAACATGAATAATTGGATTATAGGAAACTGCAAGTGAAAAATTAATCTCTGAAACATTTCCCTGTAGCTGCACTTTCAGAGACATGAGTTGCTGTGTACTGTAATTATGGCCACGCTGAACGTTACTACACAAACATATTTCAGCTTTGAAGAGAGAAATTTCGGGGTTAATTTTCACTCTTGAGTTTTATGGAACACACAGGCTCTCCTACGTCTCTGGAGCAATATGTTTGCCATCGCCATCTGTTACTCAGGAGGAGTTTTATAGAGAAATAATGCAAATTACTTCCCTCTTCAGTTACGCTGGTGCTTTGCAATATTGCGTTCTGTTGTGACCTGGAAAAGTGCCAGCTTGCCAGATTCAAGGGACAGATGTTTACTTAACCATGAACTTTAAAAACATGATGTAAAAATTAGGAGTTACATTTTCTGATTTTCCAGAACTGTAATTGTACAACTGTGTACCTTGCAATAGGTCAGTAAAACTTTGAGGAGTACTGTCAGAGCTGTTAAGGTTCAATAACCACACCACTATGAGACCTGTTCCATGAAAACACTTTGGAGTCTTTGCTATTGCACTGAAATGGAAAAGTGAACATTTGGTTTATATTGCATTACAGTCAACAACAATTCATTTTTTTCTGGCACAGCAGAACCACCGAGGGGAACACTGAATATGCAGGAAATAGTGTTTGAAACTATGGTTCACCTGCTGCCTCTGTGTAAAAGCAGGTGAGATTGCAACAGTTTGATCCTGTTTCATACATTTCAAAGAAGCAGAATTTTAAAACCCTTTAGAACCCTTAAATGAGTACCCTAATAGTTTGCCTGAATAGAATCATAGAATCACTAAGGTTTGAAAAGCCCTCCCAGCCCATGGATCCCCCCTGTGCCCGATGCCCACCTTGTCCCCCAGCCCAGAGCACTGAGTGCCACGGCCAGGCCTTCCTGGGACACCTCCAGGGCTGGGAACTCCAAACCTCCCTGGGCAGCCCCTGCCAAGGCCTCACCACCCTTTCCTTCAGGAAATTCCTCCTGATGTCCAACCTGACCCTCCCCTGGCACAGCTGGAGGCCGTTCCCTCTCCTCCTGTCCCTTGTTCCCTGGGAGCAGAGCCCGACCCCCCCCGGCTCCCCCCTTCTGTCAGGGGGTTGCAGAGCCAGAAGGTCCCCCCTGAGCCTCCTTTTCTCCAGGCTGAGCCCCCCCAGCTCCCTCAGCTGCTCCAGACCCTTCCCAGCTCTGTTCCCTCCTCTGGGCCTGCTCCAGCCCCTCAATGTCCCTCCTGAGCTGAGGGGCCCAGAACTGCCCCAGCACTGGGGGTGCAGCCCCAGCAGTGCCAGCACAGGGAGGGCACTGCCCTTGTCCTGCTGCCACAGCAGTGCTGGCACAGCCCAGGTACCTTTGGCCTCTTCCCCCTGGGCACACCCAGCTCGTGTCCAGCCACTGTCACCAACACCCCCAGGGCCTTTCCCAGCTTTCCAGCCCCTCTGCCCCAGCCTGGAGCTGCAGGGGGTTGTGGTGACCCAAGGGCAGGACCTGGCACTTGGCCTTGTTGAACCTCACACAATTGCCCTCAGCCCATGGATCCAGCCTGGCCAGATCCCTCTGCAGAGCCTTCCTGCCTTCCAACAGATCCTCAGTGTCATCTGTGAACTCACTGAGTGCCCTCCATTGTCCAGATCATCAATAAAGATATGAAGCAGGGCTGAGCCCTGGGGAACACCACTTGTGGCTGGTCCCAGCTGGGTGTGGCACCATTCCACCACTCTCTGGGCCTGGCCATCCAGACAGTTTTTAACCCAGCCAAGAGTGCACCTGTTCAGCTGCAGCTTCTCCAGGAGAATCCCATGGCAGACAGTATGGAAGGCTTTGCTGAAGTCCAGGAAGACACATCCACAGCCTTTCCCTCGCTCACTAGATGGGTTACCTGCCATAAAGAGAGATCAGTGCCACAGTTCAAACTCAGCCAATGCAGAGGTGAGTCCTAACCAAGATATGGCAGAATTTCATTAGTCACTGAGGTGTATGTAAAGTCCATCTGCTAAAGCCCTCAGTTTAAGAAAGGAACTGATATGACTAACAAAATGTAATTACTGCCTCTATTCATATGCAATAAATTCAAAAATCTCTACATACACATTAAGAAAAACAGAAAATACTTGTTTACCAACACCTACATTTCTAAGGAAAAACCCAAAATGATTACATTGTTACTTCATTCCTATTCTCATTTTCAGTTTCTCAACTGATAGACATCATCATTTCTACCTTTCAAAAATCCTTTTTCCCCTCTCAGATCAAAGGTGAGACTGGTTAAGCAAAAAGAGGTATGTGTCAAGGTCTTGTCTTTAATCAAGCTCTTATATTCAATGCATACAAAATTGTAGGAAATTCTGCATCTTAATTGTTTAAGTACAAGGCTTAAAAAAACCCAATAAGAGTTTAAAACACGTTGGTAGAACTAAGAGCCTGTTATTTTGGCACTAAAGGATAATCTTAAGAGGCAGTCCTGCCCTGAGTGCCACCTAACCACAAATGATTAACATGAGCTTTGCTCCTTAGCTTTTGGACTCTGCTAGCTGATATCATAATATTCCTGATGCATATCTATAACAACTCTGACTTTGGCAGGTGCCTCTGCAATTCATTACTGTTTGATGGCCATCATGTGACTCTCCCTTAAAAAAGTGTCCCTTATTCCCCAGTTCCAGTAAATACATCTTTCACTGCAGGTAGATACTTCTATGCTCATTTCATACTTTGTCCCACTGTATTTGATATGTTGATATGTCCTGCTTTTAAGTCCTGGTTTTAAGAAGATCTATGCATTGGTTTAATATACAAAGAACAGTGCTCTCCTTTACTCTACTGATCTAAATGTATGGATTTTCCACATGAATATACTGCAGAAATTTATACAGAAGAGGTTAAATCAAGTAATTATTGGGAAAGGAAATTACATGAAGTATGTACAGTTCAATTCCAGAAAGAAGAAGCACTGTTAGACTCTTATCTGTAAAATCCATTGATTTCAAGGTTTGAAATCACTATGATTACAGTAGTACTAGAAGTGGACTTTCTTCAAGTTCCAGTGTTAATCTGAACTATCTCAGCATAAGCAAATTATTACAGGCCACAGTTTACACCACTAGTTTATAATCAATTAAAATTATAACTCCTAATCCTGCAGTCCAGGCAAACCCACAGGCTGCATTCTGGATCAAACACACCACTTGAAGTGAACCTGCTAATTCTGAGTGCAGCTTAGAGGT